TGGGTTACCTTTCCGAGGGAAAGGGATTTTGCAGCTACCCATTAAGGTTCTTGAGAGACTGAAGACTATCTTGGGCTGCCCACGTGGGACCACAGGAACCACAAGGGTCCTTACATAAGGAAGGCAGAGTCAGAAGGAGTCTGGAAGATGCAATGCTGCCAGGTCTTAACATAGAAGAAAGGGCCGCGAGCCAGGAAAGGCAGGTGGCTACTAGAAGCTGGGAATGACACGGAAACAGATGTTTTCCAGAATGTCCTCAAAGAACCCGGTCCTGCTGACACCTCTCTGATCTAAGGAAGACTAAGGGACACATGTGTGCTGTTTTACACCCTTGGTTTTGTGACAACTTACTGCAACAGTAGAAGTCTGATACATTAGGTGCATGCGTACTGTTGCCTCAGGAGAACTGGGTCAGTGTTCAGACATTAGTGATGGGTAGTGTAGTGTAGGAAATAGTCTGTTTAACTGCCTTGGGGCGAGTGATTATTTTTTCAACGTATGACTTTATAGTGAAACATAAAACAAACAGATGTGTATGTGTGTATACGTATGTACATGTATGCACATGCGTGTGGGGGGCAGAGGTGGACATGTCATTTATATTTTTAGACAGAATCCTTCAATGAGCCTGGATCTCATTAACTGGTTTTGATCAGCTGACCAGCGAGCTCAAGGGATCCTCATCTCTGCCTTCCCGTGTCATGCTTACAGGCATGTGCCACTGGGCCCTGCTCTTCCTGTGTGTTCTGAGGACCTGAATCTGGGTCTTCATGTTTGTGCAACATGTTTACCAGCTGAGTCGCCTCCCAGCCCCACGATGAATGGTTTCATATGATTTCTCTGTTATATTTCACTATCCCCCAAATATTTTCTGACTTTCATGTAACGGCCATTCTTCCTGGACCTTTTGGTTGGACAATGAGGGGAGTTCTTGGCAGCCTGGCACAAAATTAGTAAGGTCTAACTAAGGTGGTGGTTCTTGGCTCGTTTGTTCGTGTTTACTTCGTGATGTGGCTACAAAGCCTGAAATATGCTTGGCATGCCCTGAGGGCTCTGGAGGACATGCCAACTTTTCAATGCTTTGGATGGAAACTTTTCCAAAATGTACTACTTACTTTTTAAATGTTCACAGAAGGCTCTCGGGATCTGGTGCGTGTGTGGGTGTATTCTTTTTATCTCTTCTCATTATTTTCTTCAATGCCCTCAACAGCCTCAACTTCTCCAACAATTCCAACATGGATTTTTTTATATATATGTATGTATATATGTATATGTCTGTCTGTCTGTCTGTCTATCTATCCATCTGTCTGTCTATCTATCCAGGATTTCATGTAGCACAGGCTCACTTAACTCACTCCGTGGCCAAGGAAGATCCTTACCTCTTGACTCTCCCACCTTTCCCTCTCAGGTGTTGGGATTACAGGTCTGTGCCACCACATCTGACTCCCAGCCTTCTCTTAAATGTGCTGCTGGGGCCTTAGCAATGAGTCAATGAGTTCGCGACTCCCAGGTACAAACTGGGCACCTAGAAATCAGCGAGCCTGGACTTTGTGTCCTTCCCCCGCTGCTAACCAGAGGCCATTCTTCTTACTTCGTCATCAGTTCAAGATGACACTCTAGACTGAGGGGCAGAGAGCTTAAAGAGGAGGGGCAGCACATGCTGCTATCTGGGCAAGCAGCCAGGGAGTGTGCAAACAGCAGAGAGGCCCCAGATGCCTAGGAGCGGGCTGGACTTTGTGCTTTGTGCCATCTCTGGGAACAAGGGGCTAAGCTGGTTGCCTGGCGTAACTGAGATGCTCTGCTCATTAGAGCTTTGGAGCGGTCAGAGGTCCTGTTGGTGTCAGTTCAAGTAGATTTGGGAAGTTTTGCCTCATACATCACAGTTCTAAAAATCTGCTTGGATTTCTCTCCCTCCACATCTTTTCTGGGAAGTCCCCCACCTCCTTAGAGCTCACTACTCACCCGCCATGTGTTGTAACTTATTTCACATGGCTATTCGTGTGAACCAATCGCGACAGTAATCTATGAACAAATAAGGTCAAATTCTTTTAGAAACATTTTTATTTTGAGTAGCGACTATCTGTTATTTTAAACCTTAAGGTAGTAGAATCAATTTGGCACACTACTCTGGAATAATCCACACGCTCCTGGTATACAGTCTATCTGGAAGTAATTTGGAAACACAGGCCAAGGGCCTTAAAAATGCCCAGAAGTAGTCCTACCTGCCCAGATGAACCTTCTCTACAGAGGCCGGAGAGAAAGAGCCTGGAATAAAGAGTTGCTTCTGTGGAGGTCTCAATCCTATACTTTCTTCTGAAAGGGCAAGCGAGGACCAGCTCCCACTCCCCCAGAAGACTGCCAGATGTGAGCACTGAAAAGCTCCCAGGTCTTGAGAAGCTCCGCAGAACGGAATCCCAGGAAATGTTTCTTTCCAGGTCGCCCCCCCCCCCCCCATCTCAGGAATGTTACCTGTGCTCCACTTGAGTCTCTCCAGATTATGGCAAACAAACAGAAGGTACTATTGGTGCAGGTAGGCAGAGGGAAATTACGGGAAAACAAACGGAAGTTCCTCACCAGCTCTCGGCCCTGCCTGATTGTTTTTGGTGGGGGTGCAGTCTGTCACACAGAACGAGCCTGAGAACAGTGTATGAATAAGGCCTTGGTACATAATGGTTTCAACACTTTTTTACAGGGCAGGGTATGGTCAGGATAGCCATTCAACGAGTTAATTAAAATAAATACAACCATATTTATGGGCCTTATTTTAAAATCTCATTAAAATTCTTCAAAATTTTTAGCTTGCTTATTTTACTTATTTATTTATTTATGTATTTATTCCATTACTTGTATATGGTGTGAGGGAGGCACTGACATGCCTGTGTGGACAGAGGACAACTTTTCTGAGTTGGCTCTCCCCTTCTACATGGGGGTACTGAAGGGGAACTCAGTACTCAGGCTAGCGGGGCAGGTGCCCTGCTGAGTCACTCTGTCAGCCCCATTTCATTAAGATTAGCAGTTGCCTATATTTACATTTCTTCCTAAGCCAGGACAGTTTGGTTTCGATTGGGACTGGCCTCATTCATGTGTCACTCCTGGATCCAACCCCAGAAACCTGCTTTCAGGGAACTGACCTAACTTGAACTCAGGTGACATTGCTTTGTCCATTAGCTTCAATTACGGTGTGTTGTTTTTGGATCAATTTTCTTAAGTATCGTTGTCTTTCTTCTCTTTGTGGATATGTGTATGTTGTTAAACAACACATCCCCTCACTAGCCTGGAAGCTCCACCCAGCAAAGGGGCAGGGCCTCCCCCACTGTTTCTACCCACTGTGTAGTACCATGGGCGCTCAGCAGACACTCTGATAGACAGACAGACAGAAACATGTGACTTTGGGGGGGGGGAATGATCAGAATTCACAACAAAGCACACATCTGCTTCCCCTGTGCAATGTCACCTCTAGGCCGGCAGAAGGTTTTGTGACAAATGACTTAAGCCACATAATACATAGGTATCATTAACTCGGACTTCTTGTCACCTATGAAATCTACCCTTCTTAGATACAGACTTGGCTCTGAAGTTTGGGAAGAAGTTGCTTCTTGCTAAGAAGGATGTAAAGGACTCTATCACAGCCAAAAGCTAGAAAAAAAATCACTCCCCTCCACCCCAAACCAGCAAAATAAACAACAACAACACGATAAAGTATAAGTGCAACAGATTCTCAGATATCTGTGATGGCATTTTCTCTCTGCCTTTTAGACAACCAAAACAGATGTAGCGAGGTGGGCTTTCTCTATTGTAATGGATCGGTTGAGTCTCCTTTGAAAATGATAGTTCGCTACATTTCCCCTAAATTTCTAGGTCTGTGTCACTACTTAGAGGAGGGAGGACAAACAGAACAAACCGAGGATGGAGGAAGTAAGTGTGCGAACTTTATTTCATCATGAGCGAGTCCCTTCCAGGCAGGAACAGAGACCGGGGAAATCTACATGATGGTCGGGTTGGCTCATCATCACATACATACCTTATATTTGTACATAATATATATATATATAAAATTCATGGAGGAATGGATTTCTACAACACAGTTTCTTTGTTTGTAGAGAACGTGTTCCGTTAGTTTCACTTAGAAAATGACCCCCAAGTCTGTGACTGTGGTACCGGGGGTCGCAGGTCCCCATCCTGTAACTAATAATAGACACCAGGATCTCATGAACATTGAAAGGGACTCAGAAATGACACCTTCCTGCAGGATGAAAGGACAGACAGAAGTCCTCAGGGGGCTGTGTTAGGAACTGGTTTGTGTATAATAATGTGAGTTCTATAACCTAGTTAGAAGGGAAACAGTTTTCATACAGCTCTGTTGACAGATAGCAGTGACACGGCCACAGTTTCTCCCTGCTCTGCATCCAGGCACACCCCCATGTTATCATGTCACCTTCAGGGCCCTGGGGAAACGTGGCCAGCACCATCAAGGCCTTCTGCATTGCTTCTAGAAAGAACTCTTGGAGGCCCTTAGCATTTAGCGTGGTATTTTGGGAAAAGAGGTAAGGGCTCTTAAGCTGGTAGCCATCCCAGGAGGAAGTTGCTAAAACGTTAAGTCTGGGCAGACAGCTAGACGTGACATCACTGCCATCTCTGTGGGTACAGGTCATGTGAGCATTTGGTCCTTTACAGAGCCTTTTTGTTGAATAGCTTCACCCAGCCCTTCCACCCCTCCCCAAAGCATTGCTTTTACAGCTCTGGGGATTTTACCCTTGCTGTGGGACTCAGAGTTGTGCTTGTTTTGAACCATGTGGACCGTTTTAGGGGTGACTGACACATGGCGAGGCATGTGGAAGGTGGGAGAAACCAGCACAGTATTTTTAGCTAACAAAGTCAACATCTTGAACAAAGTCAACATCAGAGATAGTTGTGGAGAATGCCTAGTGGGTAGGAGGTAACTTCCACAATTAAGACAACACCCCAAAGTCTCAAAATGCTTTGGCACCAGCCAGACATACCCTTCATAGGTTTAGTCTCATGTGCTCCCGCTGCTTGTAAAAATACAAAAAAAACAAAAAACAACCATTAAAGCCTCAGAGGTTACACCAGGCCATCAAATGCAAGCCTCTTCTAGACAGATTGTCTCTGATGACCAGAATATCTAAAGTACAGACAAGAATCAAATGTCCTCTAGAGAACCAATGTTGTACAGTGGCCCCGGGCAGCCTAACCACCCCTAGAGGGACTGGCAATGACCCACATGACGAGGTAAAGCAGAGTTGCTGGTCTCTTCCTGTTTGGTGCCCACAGGAAATCTCAGTCCTGGTGCTGATGGCCTGGGCTTTGGGTAGGAAAGGAAGTAGTCCGGGCTGGTTAAGCCAGAAGTGGTCAACAGGCTCTAGCACCCATACCCACCGCCAAGATGTTCCAATCATATGGATCTAAAGTTGGAAAGAATCTACATCCCAGCCCTGTCAGGAGCAAGCAAGAGCTACAAAGACATGGAGAATCATCTGGGCAACAGTGGCCACTGAGGTGGCTTCGTGGAGACCGGGAGCCTGCTCTAGAGCTTAAGTGTCTCCATCTTAGACACCAGGGCACATTCAGGCTTTCACGTTCTGCTTCTTCCACAGTAGCTTAGAGCGTTAGCAAAGGAAGCCATGGGAGCTGCTGATGTGGGGTCTCTGGTTTGCTCACATCCTCATCTCACTGGGCCTTCTAAAGGCGGGAGAGGGACAGCGGCTCTGGGGCCGTGGCTCTGACGGGGTTACCTCCAGGCTGCCAGCCACGTTAGATGCCACGTAGTTCCCGCTCTGAGGGATACTGCTGAAGGGCCTTACCCTCAGACGTCTGGAGGACCAGTGTCTTGCTGTAGGGGCTGACTCCTGTTTTGTTGAAGGCCTTGACACGAGCATTGTACGTGCTGTTGAAGTGAAGGCCATCCACGGTGCACATGGTTTCTTTTCCAACATACACTTCCTGTCAACAGAAAAGGGGACCCTACTGAATGTGAACCCCAAGAGGGATGGATTCTGCTCAGTGATCGGGAGCACAACTTCAGTATCTGCCCGATCCAGACTTGAATTCTATGAGCTACTGGGCTGTTCAATTTGTTGCTTAAGGCTTTACTTACCTAATCTGTAAAATGGGGACATTGATACCTTCTTTTCAAGATGGGTGTGAGGGCAATCTAACTTTAGATTTGCAGTGGGCTCAGTTGCCTAATAGTGATCCACAGATCGTAATTTAAAAACTCTAACTGGGAATCTTTGGCTAAGATTATGCTTATGTCTGGTGTTTTAAAGAACGTCACCTTTATCCATCCGGATGGTTTGTGAAAAGCGTTTTTTTCAAAACATGAGACCATGAAGGTAGTCTGTAGGCTGTGTTCCTCATTTCAGGAACTATCACAAGGATTATACTTAAAGCCATTGGAATGGAGTTTTGCACCACAGTACGGAGGGAAGGGGTGGTGTAGGGGGGATGACATTTCAAAGGCTTAAAATAAAGCCTAGCATAACGTGTTTTCAGCCTAGGTTAGGCATTGGCTTCCCTCCTCAGCTGTACACTTTGCAAAGTTCGGCTGATGTCATGGTGAGAACAATTTACATTCAAGGCACAAGTTAAAGTGACAGCTCCCTGCTGGAGGTCTTGGAGGTCCCATTCCTCCAAGCTCATTACTGCCACAGTGTTAGGAAACCTGCATGTTACCTTCGCTCACTCGGGGATTCTGAACACCTGTGCACATGGAGTTTCCTATGCGTCTTATTACAATATGGCTTTTATTCCCAAAGGTCCCTGAAGTACAGTCTGAGATAATGCATTTTTAACAAGTTCCCAGGTAAAGCCAGGGCTGAATAAATAGATGGGGCCTGGAAGGAGTCATATCCTAGCAGAAGGGTGACCCCATCTTATGGTGGCTGCGGATGAGTGGAAGGGATCCGGATGTGAGAGCCATGGTTTGACTAGAAGGGACCAGAGGCTGACTTCTTTTAATCCTGGGCCTTTAGGAAGGAAGGGCCAGCTGGTGCTCCGTTTCTGAGTGTAATGTCTTTGAAAGGACAGACAGATAGAGAAGAACCTTAGCTGTGAGAACGTAAGTTGTTTAGTTTAAATTTAAGTTTAGGCTGGCTTCAGCATGTCAAAGTTGAAAATTCTCCACAGGTAGAGATCTGGGCCTGTCAGATAAGACCTGCGGATGAAAGAGATGGATGGAGAGTGAGTGCTCAGAGAGGGATGGGGAGTGCTCAGAGAGGGATGGGGAGTGAGTGCTCAGAGAGGGATGGGGAGTGAGTGCTCAGAGAGGGGCGGGGAGTGAGTGCTCAGAGAGGGGCGGGGGAGTGCTCAGAGATGGGAGTGCTCAGTTCACATGCATGTAGGCTGCAGAAGGAACATGAGACCTTGGGATGGCAGTAGCCTTCAATGATATTTAGATATGATGCTGTTTCCACGCCTGTCAACACATATGTAAATAAAGGCTTCCCTGCCAAAGGAGAGAACTTGAGGAGAATTGTAGAAGACTGGGGTGGAATGTAGAAGGTGCGCAGTGTGTGTGTGTGTGTGTGTGTGTGTGTGTGTGTGTGTGTCTATGTGTGCGCGCGCGTGTGTGTGGGCATGCCTGTGTGTACACATGTGTGATGGCTATTTTGGTTGTTGGTTTCACTACATCTGAAACAAACTAAAACTCCAAAATGGCTGGGCACACCTATGAGGGATGTTTTTTCTTAATTAAATCAGAAATTTAATTTAATTTAAAAATTAAATTAAATGGGAAGACCCATCTCTCTCTAACCTGGGTCACACCTTCTGCTGGCTGCCTATATAGAAGTGGAAGAAGAAAGCCTTTCTCTTTGCCTGCTTGCTTTCGCCCTCACTAACAAGTCCATTCCATCACGGGCATCAGAGTCTACTTCTTCAGGATTCCAGCATGTACTGAAGACCAGCTGAGATATCCAGCCTCGTGCACTGAACAACTACTAGATTCTTGGACTGTCTGTTCATAGCCAGCCATTGTCGGATTAGCTGGACACAGCCTGTAAGTCATTCTGATAAATCTCCTTTATATGTTAACAGTAGCCTGAGAGTCCAGCTCTTCAGGGCAGCCTCCAGGGTTCGAGGAAGAGGTCCAATGTGAAGTGAAACTGAGTTTGAAGGTTGTCTATCTGAGAGATACGGAATGAACTCACACACATGCTGTTCTCATCACACTCTTTATTCTGCTAGCGCCAAGTCTACCTCTATAGCTTCTAGTTCTCCTTTGTTTCTATTCTCTGCTCTAATTCTTTCTAGCTCCGATTCTCTCTTGCTTCTTTGTTCATCTAGCTTAAATATATTTTTACAGGAGGCTTGAAGCAAAGAGAAAAAAAGTTATGAGTTACATCTTATTGATCGTAGCACACTCCTTGGTAAGAAGTCGAGTGCCATTTACCATGGCAATGCAAAGTTTCAAGGTTCCAGGTGTAAGACTGACCAGAGGCCACAGTGTCTGATGAGACAAGCTGCAGAGAGCTCTGTGCAGAGAGACAGGTCTTCTCAGCCAGGCGTGGCAAGCAAAGAACTGGCCTGACTTTTTAGGTTGCTTTGTGTTAATAACCTTGGCTAGATATCTGCAACTCTGATCTTGCGCATATCTGTAAAGTTTTTAACTTATGATCCATTTACAGAAACATTAAGCCTATTTTGAACTTGCTCTAAGGTGAAAGTGAGCTAATTGTGTGTAGTTTGAGTCAAAGGAACAAAGCAGGCTTTTAAGTGTCTTACAGTCCTTGTGGGGCAATAGATCTAGTTATGAAACATTTCCTAGTATATACTCTATACATCAAAATTATACAGCTTAATGAGAAATAATTTTCCTGACCATCCACCAATATATGTGCTCATAAGATTAAGTGAGATGCAATCATGAGATAATATATACACATTGCATGAGAGTACACATTGCAGTGTAGGTATTGGGGAGACACCATAGCTGCTTTAGCACATGTAAAATTACAGACAGGAGCAACAGTTTCCTGAGTCAGTGGTCCCAAAGGCCCTGCCTAGATGGGATTCTCCTCCATCAGAGAATCATTCCTCTGGTGGGTTGACATCTGAACACTAGTTGTCACCTGCTGTGTACTTCCATGGCCCTCAACAGTATATGTGTATATATAGATAGAGTGTCATTCTATAAGTTCTATCCCTCTAAAGAACTCTGAGTAACACAGTGTGTTTGAGACAGAAGTAGGCACACATAGATAGGCCGCCACTAGAGATCATTAATCTATGGGCACCACGGCCATGTTTTGCCAAAAGGCAGCTGTCTCTTATCCAGAGGCAACCCCTTTGCCTTGTGGACATAATAATTTTGGGGCACCAGTTTCTGTCTGATGAAAGACTCAGGAAAAACCAAAAAGAACTGGAGAAAGATTTACGAGAAAAACTTTCACCAAAGGAGGCTGTAATAGAAGAGTCTGCCAGGTAAGAAAAGTGTCCATGCAATATATTAGAATCTGTCATAGCAGAAACAGAACTCAGGCAATGGTTCATGGCATCGTTAGCAATAAGTCATGATGGTGATAGTAACGGCCAGCGTTGCAGACTCACCATGGATGCGGCAGCACTCTGATCTTACACAGACCATCTGATGGACTCTGAGAACCAATGCACCATAAGCATGTTGGGGTGGTTTGCAAGAAAATGGCCCCAAAGGGAGCGACACTATTAGGCGGTGTGGCTCTGTTGGTGTAGGTGTGACCTTGCTGGAGAAAGTGTGTCCCTGCCAAGGTGGGCCTTGAGGTCTCCTATGCTCAAGTTGTGCCCAGTGGCACAGCGGCTTCTGCTGCCTGCTGATGAAGATGTGAGACTCAGTTCCTTCTCCAGCACATGCCTGCATGCACGTGGCTGTGAAGATAATGGACCAAACCTCTGAAACTGTAAGCCAGCTCCAATTAAATGTTTCCTCTCTAAGAATTGCTGTGGTCTCTTCTGCAATAGAAACCCTAAGTAAGACACATGTTATTGTCTTTGGTCCCTCACTGGCAGGTGCAGACCCAAAGGCTCAGAGAGACAAGAAGTTCTGCCACACAGCTAAACTGTCTTTTCGAAAGGTCAGGTTGATTTGACAGACCCATCCATCTTTGTTGATACATTACAAGAAATCCCTGCTGGGGTGGCCCACCCTCAGGAGAGATGGAAAGACCATGCCCTGACGGCACCGCAGGTCTTCTGAGGGAGTCCCTGGCAATGCTTTATAAGTAGGTTGTCTGCTTACCCGGAACTGACCACCACTGCCATCATCCAGCTCCAGAATGTATCCTTCGGCGGCCACAGTGGACAGCGGGGGCTGTTTCCAGGACAGTGTAGCGCTGTTGTTATGGGTGCAGCACTCCTCCAGCTGTAGGATGGGGGTCGCGGGGACTGGAGAGGAAGCTAAAGAGAAATTAGTGCCGTTCTAGCTTCTGCTGAGTTACAACTGTTATATTAGCTCACAATGAGAAGCTTCCCACTGGCAAGGAAGAAGTCTAGAAACATACACACAGCCCTGTCCATCATCCATCCATCCATTCATCCACCCACCCACCCACCCATCCACTCGCCCAGCCGCTCACTAATGGTCTTCCAGATCTTGTGCCAATAAACAATAACAGCTGTGGATTTTTGAAACTTGGTACCAAGGGACACAAGCCGTGTCACTTGATCTGAAACTTGTGAAGAACCTGACATCATATTATCATGGCAGTTGTCACTTGGGACAGTGAGAGGTCAGGTACCCTGCTTTTCAGGTATAGAACAGGTTGGTTGGAAGCCCAGGTGCCCATGAGCAGATCTCAGTGTGACAGGGACTCTTGGTGTTTCCAAGTCTTATGAGAATCAACTGAGTTAATAACCCTCTATAATTTAGACTGATTCTTTTGTATTATTTAAAACTACTCAGTAGTTGAATCTTCAGACACATGCTAGTTGACAATTCCAGTTCCTAATATAGGAACTCGATATATGTAGCTGAAGGCAATGTTTTAGAAAATATTTTTTTAAATAAAGTATTTATTTTATTTACATGTATGAGTGTTTTGCCTGCATGTATGCATGTGCACCCCTTGCATGTCTGGTGCCCATGGAGCTCAGAAGAAGGTGTCAAATACCCTGCAATAGTGCTATAGACAGTTGTGAGCCACTGAATTGGTTCTGGGAACTGAACTCAAGTCTTCTGCAAATCACTGAGCCATTTCTCCATTCCCTTAGCAACATTTTTTTTTAAATTAGCCCCAGAACATTTCCCCTGACCCTATACTTTAATAACAGGAGAAAACAGGTTGGAATTTATGTTCAGGAGCATTTAGATGAACAAATGCTAATTATGGAACACCTGGTGTGCTGCATCACCATTGGGCACGGTGTGCTATGCACTGAGTTAAATGTTTCTGTCAGTCATTCCAACCAGGACAATGTTGACTTAACAGCAGTTCAGGAAACAGGATCTATGGTGGGTGACACAGGAGACAAAAGCAGGTACAACACACATGATGTGAAGGACAAGACTTTCAATGAAACCAGATCTGAGCTGCTAAATCGGGGAGTAGTTCATTGGAGGAGACCATTTTAGGATGGGAAGTCTCAAATTTCAATGTCTTATAGAACAGAATCTTCCAAAATACCCATGGCTTTTGCAGCCATGGGGGGCCCAGAACATCTGAATTTGGAGGAAAGGAGAGAAACTCATTGCCTAGTTTAATATCAAACTACAGGACTAGATGAGAAAAGGAGACAGAAGCCGTAACTCCCAAAGGCTGCAATGAGCACCCACACAGGAACAGGCATCACTTGGGTGTTGCTGCTGGGGACTGGTTTGAAGTCTATTAGTGTGTGAAGGTTTTGTTATTAAAAATGTTTCCTCATCATATTGAGTGAGGCAACCCAGACTCAGAAAGACAAATATATGTACTCACTCATAAATGGGTTTTAAACATAAAGTAAAGAAAACCTGCCTACAATTCACAATTCCAGAGAACCTAGACAACAATAAGGATCCTAAGAGAGGCATACATAGATCTAATCTACAAGGGAAGTAGAAAAAGACAAGATTTCCTGAGTAAATTGGGAGCATGGGAACCATGGGAGAGGGTGGAAGGGGAGGGGAGAGGCAGGGAGGGGAGTAGAGAAAAATGTATAGTTCAATAAAATCAATTAAAAAGTAAAAAAATATGTTTTCCTTATAAAAGGAATACATATTTTATGTTTATGTTGGGATTTAGCCAAACTGTTGCTCAGAGGGCTTCTGGAGACATGGATGAATTTCTCTGGGATGTTTATTTCATTAGGTCTATCATAAATCTATTCCTTGGACTGTCTGTCTCATTAACTGCTTATCAATCTTTCATTTTCCTCCATTCATGCTGCAGGCAAGTGTACACTTCTTCAATTACAAAGTCAACTAATAAGATAACAAAATGATTTCAACCTAAATCATACAAATGTCTGCGTTTTCTGAGCAAAAACAAGAATCTCCATTAGGCAAAGGCATCATTAAGTGATTAATTGAAATACACAATGCCGGATGTAATTAAAATACTGGAATTTTTGAGTGCCCAGTAGGAAGACTGTGAAAGAAAAGATAGAAATAAAGCTGTCACTAAGGTTCAGATCTCAATATTGTCTCAGACGTAAATGGCAGGAAAATGAGCAAAGCAGGCAGGGGTAGGGCAGTACACAGCGACACCAGCACAGCTAAACTGGAATCTGTTGCATGTCTGATTCTGTTTCCCCACATGCTAAGAACTATTTTTTTTTATTTTCATCTATTCCATATTTACCTCCAAATGATGTAATACATAAAAAGCAAGCATGTCAAAGTTATAACCACATTAGCTAAGACTCAGGGCTAGATTTTTATGGTAGGTGTTATGTCACCTTATTTCATTTTATTAGGTATGAAATACATGTGTGGTCTACAAGAAATGCAAAGAATTTTCAATCATTCTGTATTTTATCATATAGCACAAAAGCAGCTTCAGAGCTGAGGTCCAAGAATGCTTTACTTTATTGTGTGTGGGGCTTCCCTAACTGTTTTGGTCTTTGTTTCTCGTGTTCATTCTGGGACATCTCTGGCTTTCCCTTTGCCATTGGTCTCTCTTGGTCTGATCACGATAATAGCATTATCGTGATAAATAGCACTATAAGGATAAACTACAGACTCCAAGTTCTCTTGGATACAACATGCTGTTCCTTGTGCTTCTGTGGAAACTGGTGGAGGTGAGGCTTGGGGCTCTGTTCTAGAACAGTTCCTTCTGCAACTGTTTTCAGATCTCATCATTTGAAGGCAGCTCGCTCCTTCTCTAGGTTCTCCCTCTTCTTCTTCTTGTCATGAGCACTAACAATGCCTCCCCCCCCCCCGAATTCCTCTATGAAACCAACAGCAACATGATGAGGACAAGGGGGAAAGGACGCCAACTTCCCACACTCCCACTGGGACCACAAACCCTAAAGAATGCTTTATGAATACTCGGCTGGTAAGAGGCTTCCATGCATCCATTTTCCACAGCCACCCTCTTCTTATATCTGTTTCCTAGACAAAGAAACTGAAACCCAGGGAGGTTTCATGGCTACCAAGTGATGGGATTGGGACCTGATCTATCAGGCCGGCTCTGAGGCTGTGGGCGTGGCATGTCATCAGCTGCTCCTGCAGCTGGGTCATGGGAATTTTGTACTAGAGCAAAGTTTCCACATCTCATTCCAGATGTTTCTGTTCCTTATACCAGGGGTGGCAAAGGTCCCTAAGCGTTACTGTTATTGTTGAAGTAACTCCCATTCAGAGCTACATTGTTCAGCAAATGAAAAAAGAGATAGAAAGGAAAGGAACATGACTGCTCCCAGGTTTCAGCACCAAATGAATGGAAAAAAACAAATATAAAGGAAAAGGAGCATGAGGGCTCCTAGGTATGGAGGAGGAGGTTTGTTGTAGACATGTGAGATATGGGAGAGCACAGCTAGAGACAGGGACATCTGGGAGGGTTCAGAGTGGACATGACCCTGAGCCATGTGAGGGGAAAGGGGAAGGGAAAAGAGAGAAGGGAAACAGGTATAGCAGCCAGGAGGTCCAAAGGTACTAAGGGGGTGGTAACAAACATGACTGGATTATATAGAGAAGAGTCTCTGGGGGAAGCCCTGGGCTGGAGAAGTTTAGGGTAGGGAGTGGGGTATGCCAGCCAGGAGGGCCATATAACAGGTAGGGACTGAGGGATGCAGGGAGAACCTGGCAGCCAGAGTCCACTTTGATATGTTAAATAGGAACCTCAGATATTTATTCCTGATCTGAAACCAGGAATGCCATAGCACACTGGTTCTCCTCTATGGGGACTGAACAATATGAATGGCATTTAAGCTTTAGAGCAGTGCTTCTCAACCTGTGGGTCGTGACCCCCTTGGGGTCACATATCAGATATCCTGCATATCAAATATTTACATTACAGTTCATAACAGTAGCAAAATTGCAGTTATGAGGTAGCAATGAAATAATTTCATGGGGGTCACGACAGCATGAAGAATTGTATGAAAGGGTCGTAGCATCAGGAAGAACCACTGCTTTAGGTTAAATGCAGGGCATTTCTAGAAAGTTATCGCTGGTCCACGAGGGAGGATGAACCACACGTGTTCTGAGGACGTTCATTTCAGTCCCCAAACCTCTGCATGTGAACAGATTGCCTGTGCATATGTGCATGCTAACCCATCTCTGCCAGCCCTCTCCTGAAGCTTGTTCCCTGCGATACAAAGGGGCGTCTGTTCAGATCAGTCTGTCCTTGACTGTGACCTTGGAACATAACAAGGGCTATTGCATTCAAGGGGAGTTAATGAAGATTAATTTGTCCTCATGGGAGGAGAGGCACTTAAAGAAATTAACAACCATTTGGTTTTATGTGCTAAAAGGTTGGTAGAGTTTTAGGTCACAGCTTTGTTCTAGTACGGATTTAACATGCCGACGATTGATTTTAGCGACATGCCTTAAATGTTCTATGTGCTCACATAATTTTAGGGTAATATTCTTCAGAAAAAGTGCACGTCTGAAACCTGTTCTTACCCATACAGCAGAACCTTGGAAGACTACAAAGGGACTCTGAAAACTCTATTCCCGTGATCCAAGAGAGAGTGGACGATACCAACTGAGAACTTGGAAAAATATTCATAAAACGATCTCTCATAAAAGCATGAGACAAAACTTGGCGTGTCGTTTTTGTACAATTAAAGACAAGGTGCTCAAACATCATTCCCAATGGTTTGGAAAGAAGGTGAAGTGATCTTCTAATCAAGGGACACCTAGAAGCATGCCAGAACAATTCAGGCAACTATACAACGAAAGTCCAGTGTTCTCTAGATGGACTTCACCTGCTCAGGGTGGCAGGGTCCTTAGCTACTGAGGCAGTGACCCCAGAAGATGAATTCTTGATAAGCAGCAGCTGCCTGGGTAGAAACCTGTGGGCACCCGCAGAAGACCCATTTTCTTCCACAGCAACAAAAGGAACATCTTGGACAAGATTTCAAAACCAGAAAGATTCGAATTCCTTTTTGTCAAGAAGCAAGCAGAAGTTTAAATGCGTACTTTAAGTTACTTAAAAATATTTTGAGTTTCTACTGTGCCCATGTAACATCGTTAGAAATATATATCTAATGATAGTGTTATTTCATAGTGGTCAGATTATGGTAATATTATTCCAAACACAATTTAATTTTCATCTTTTGTACTTGGACTTATGTTTTGGAGGAATATCTTTCCTGACAAATTGTCAAGGGGCAGTTCATTAGGTGGCCTAAGAATTCCTCTAGAAAATGAATGAGCTAACAGAACACTAGGTACAGCTGTCCCTGTACTAACAAACATCCCAAAGGTGGGGGCAGGGTGGGCTCAACTGCAGCCAGTCAACTGATCCTGCGTCACAACCTTGGCCTTTTCTTTGCGTCACAATTATCTGACAGGTAAAAATTATTCAGACTGAGCAGGACCAGGCTCTCACTGAATTGGTTAAACTTAATGAGCACAAAGCAAGACACATAAATTAACAAGGCAGAGAGAAAATAATAAAAAACGAATTAAATTAAGGTGAGGTGTTAAACAGAAATTTTGCTCTCGCACCGAATGGTCTTGTCTCATAATGTCATAAGGAATTGTTCTCGATGTCGGGCATATCAGGTCAGTGACTGCACGTAGGGACGGTCTAAATTTTAGCCCTTAGTGTGGTTGGCATTCTCGGCTGCCTGTGTACAGACCTGAGCAGTCTAAACATACAGCTTTCTCCACTTTCAACTCTGTGTGCTCTGCTAAGTGAAAACGGGACTCTTCTTGGAAAAGTGGTCCCGGATGCCCAGCACACAGACCTCCGCTCTTGTACCTGCCCAGGACCTGCTCACTCTAGGTTCATCCTGCCACCTGGCCTGAGCTCCATAGGGGGCAGATGGGTGGACCAGATACAAAGGGCAGCGAGTGTGGGAACAGACTGCCCTGCCACCACCAAAATATTCAAAAGGCTTCTTCTACCTTTGAACTTCCCCTTCCTCCTGCCCTAGTACCAAGGTGAATTGGGTTGTTACATTTTCCCCCTCTTTGCTCTGCCCTTTTATGATATATCTCCTCCTCCAAGCTGCATGAGACATAACTTTTATTTTGTTAAAAGGATTGAGGATAGACAGAGGCTGGCTGAGGGCAATTAACCTAAGGTTCGATATCTCTGCAAGAGATGGTTTACTGACTTTGTCATGTAAGGGTCATAGAAGATTTTAAACAGCAATAAAAAATTGTTGTAATTCACACACACACACACACACACACACACACACATGACTACATGTATGAAAGGAAATGAGATATTTCTCCAAGAAGCTACACTGGGATATACTAATTTTGTAGAAACCGATTGGGAAGGATACTAGTGGGTCCTGAAGCTACTTCCTGATGGGGAGGGGGGAACCCTAACCCCACCACTTTGTGTAACATAGGTTTCCTGTGCTCCCAATGTCCCCAGCTGACCTCTAGGACTGCGAGAATAAATGGAAGTGAGAAAAATCAGCTGCATGGGATAATGTCTGGTTTGGTCAACATCCCACAAATGCCCTCATCTTTTATTACCCCAGGCATTTTAACTTACAATCTATACAGTAGTTTAAAAGTTGGTTAAGGCGTCATCTCAAATGAGTGTCTATCAATAGAAAAAAATAAGAAAGCTGAGAAACCAAGAGCAAAGGGTCATGAAAAGGAGATGCACGAGCGCCAAACACACAGATGAATTCGCCCTCACGGCAGAAGCACTAACAGTACTAAAACTATAACCTCTCTGGTTATAGAAGTCTGTTTAGTACGCAGAGAAACAGGTAGGATTTTCCCCTACCATATACAATTTGCAAAGTATTTACTTTTAAGATTCATTTATTACATGTATGCTTAAATTAAGAGGTAAAGAATGCAAATCAATTTCTCCAGCTAGGAAAAGATTTTACTTTTATTTATTTATGTGTATGTATGTGTGTGGGTTTGTGCATGAGAAGGCAGTGCCCAACGAGACCAGGCGATGTTAGTTCCTCTGGAGCTGGAGTTCCAAGTGGCTTTGTCACCTGCCTGATGTGGGTCCTGGGAACCAAACTCTGGCCCTGTACAAGAGCAGCAAGCATTCTTAATTGCCGGGTCTCCTCTGCAGCTCTGACAAGCATTGTTTTTATTTTTGAATCGTTGGAAAGGTTTGTATCTACTTGGTTTGATACAGTGTCTCATGATATAATACTTGTTGACCTGGAATATGCTGTGTTGACCTGGTTAACCTGGAACTCACAGGCCTCTGCCTTCTGGATGCGGGGAGTAGGCAATGTGCCACCATGCGTGGCCCAATTTCTTCCGTTTTCACAGAAGGTCAGAAAGTGTTAAAAGTGGCAGAGTTGGAGGACATAGCAGTAGCTGCCATGGATTTGAGGATGGGGGCGGGTTGGTGTGTGACGGAGGGTGGCCTTTCTGCTTAGTTCTTGAGACAGAATCTTAGGACGTTGTTCACTCTGGTCTGAAATCATGATCCTCCTGCCTCTGCCTTCTCATTGCTGGGGTCAGAGACCTCCACCCTTTCACCTGGCTTTGGAATAGTTCCTTATCTCGATTGTGGTGGTAGTTGTATGACTCTACATATGTCAAAAACACGAAATTAAAAAAAATCAGAAATAGTCTTCAGATGGATTAGTGACACGACCATAAAAAATACCACTGCACGCCTGGCTTGTATTTTTTTTAAGATGCATTTATTTATTATGTGTGCAGTGTTCTGCCTGCATGTATGCCTGCACACCAGAAGGGGGTACCACATCTCATTATAGATGGTTGTGAGCCACCACGTTGTTGTTGGGACGAACCCCCTGAGCCATCTTTCCAGCCTCCCTGACTTGTGTTTTTAAACATAAGTACACATACTTCCTCTTGGTGCCCAACTTAAAAAAAAAAAATTCTTCAACCAGAGCTCGCTACATCCTTTCGTTCTATAAGCTAATCGTAAAGTTTGTCTCCTTGTCATTTCTCTCCCAGTTTCCAGCCGTCCTCTCCAACTCTCATTCATTTGCTCTCTCCCTCCGAGAGGATGCTTTCATTTCAACGCCAGGTTTCCGTGGCATTCGGCACTATGCGGTGTGTGTGTGTGTGTGTGTGTGTGTGTGTGTGTGTGTGTGTCACTGTGGGAAGGTCTTAGCTGTGTACAGTGACCTCCCCTTCTGACTGTCTCTGGGTTGTCAGTGGCTCTCCTGCGGACATGTGAATTCTCCAGGGTTGAGTATATCTGAGTTTATCAGACTTGCTCGGCTTACACAGCTAAAATGGAGGTGTTTTCATTCTCCCACGTAGGTGAGAGTCGCTCTAGATTTTAAAGAGATTTTATTCAAGTGTATGTGTGCCGTGTGTGTGTGCCAGGGCCCCCAGATGCCAGAGTGGGTACATGTAAGCTGCCTGAAGTGGGTGCTGGGGACTGAACATGGACCCTCTGCAAGAGCAGAGAAAGCTCCTTTCCTTTTCTTTCTCTTCTTCATTCCCCCCACCCTTCCCCTCCTTCCTCTTCTGATTCTTCTAATCAGAATTTATCCTAATTTTGTCTTATCTGGAGCTCAGTAGTAAACCAGGCTGGCCTTGAACTGACAGAGGAGCCTGTCTCCACCTGCTGAGTGCTGGGATTAAAGGAATGCACCACCATGCCCAGCAGCAAGTGCTTGGAATTGCTGAGCGCCTTTCTCCAGGCTCACTCTGGACACTATGACCTTCAACATAGGGTCACCCCCACCTCTTCAAGCAGCAGTATCTGCTCAGGACAGCGTGGACTCTGGGGACAGAGGACTCACCTTTCACTTGCACAAAGTCCAGCTGGTGAATGGATTGCAGCAGGGGGCTGTTGTCCAGGCTCAAGTCAAAGTCCGTGGTCATCCTGGGGGTGAGCGTGCCTTTCCCCCACTGGTCCTCAGTCAAGTGGACTCGCCTGATGAGGGCGTCTGAAATCTAATCACATCAAAGACCACAGCATAAGAAACACAACGTTGCATTCAAACCACAATGCTGTTCCTGGACTCTAAGCATTGCCACCTAATGGCAAGGACCACAAGCTCCTCCCATCTCAGGTGCTCGGTGAGAATGACTGTGTCCTGACTAGGGTTGCCCATAGCTTCTGAAGCAAATCTGAACATTTTTGTTGAGTTGGAAGGAGGCCACTGTAAATAATTAGGGCCTTCAACCGACGAGTAGATACACCTGGAATACACCCATGCATTTATTACTGAGCTTCCAAATGCGGACAGCGCTGAAGAAAATGATACACTGGAAATTAGTTTGTTCTATAGGCTCAAAGGCTCTATCGACCCTTCCATACCAAGGTGTGGGCAGCCGGACAAGATTTGGGAATGAGGTTCGCCAGCCAGAGAGGCCGCTACACATCCTCTTCCACCCTAAATGCGTCATCTTCATGGGACTCCCGCTTGATTCTTTTTTTTAATATTTATTTATTTTATGTATACAATATTCTGTCTGTGTGTATGCCTGCAGGCCAGAAAGAGGGCACCAGACCTCATTACAGATGGTTGTGAGCCACCATGTGGTTGCTGGGAATTGAACTCAGGACCTTTGGAAGAGCAGGCAATGCTCCCAACCTCTGAGCCATCTCTCCAGCCCCTCCCGCTTGATTCTTTGGAAGAGACCTCTTCCCTTTCTTACATCCAGCCCCCATCTGTCACTCTTGGGTGTCTGCAGAACACGAACTGGAGGAGATCTAGATGCCCTAGCTTAGTTAGAAACTCCTTGTCATTGGTACCAAAAATGTAAGTAAACCCTAGCTTACACCATAGCACTTTATAATTGACAGTGAACAAAAGCAAAAACCAAAACAACCCCTCTATACCATTGGAGAAAACAATAGGTTTACTGAGCAGGAGGACGGAGCAGGAACTGTGCACACAATGACTTCTGCTGGCAAAACTGTTAGGGAGAAGGCCCGATTCTCGGGCAAGGCAATACTCTCTTCTTTGGAAGGAATTACAGGGTTAAGCACAAGAACTAAAGCACACACCAGCCCATGGACTTCTCATCTTGTAGCATAGGATGCCAGAGACTCCCAGGAAGTCAGCGTTCTCCAACAGGCTCTCCTACACTTACTGAGTATACAGGGAGGTTCTGCTATTGAAGGACACATGCAAGCCAGGCTACGGGATGTTCCATCTACGAGTCCTCCACTCAGTGCTAGGGGGCATCTGAACCAGGAGGAAGACCTCGTAAGCACTGACCTGCAGAAAGCCGCTGGGATCGTTCTCCTTAATCACTTCCAAGCAGTACTCCATGAGGCCCGTGGTCTGGCGCAGCTTCACCGTGCAGTGCGAGATCTGGTCCCGAACCACCTGGGGTTGGTGAGGAAACCAGAGAGGTAGGTGCAAAATGGCGGAGGGTGGCAGGGGGGCTATCGGATACCCTGGGACTTCGGAAAACTCCCTCAAAGCAGAATCCAAGAGCATCCTGGAAGTGGATCTAAATGGATGACAATTCTTTGTGCCACTCCGCATGGACAATGGCTCTGGAGGACAGCCGGGAGGGTCTTTATAGAAATGGCAAACAACAGGACCCTTCAGGAAAAATTATGGAAAGCAGAATACTGACGAAGAACCCTAATGACTCTGCTGCATTAAGGTCTTGCACAGGGCCCAGCAGACATTCTTCTCTGTGGAAGCTGACCCTCCTGTGAGCTTTGCTTTGGGTGAAGGCATGAGCTGTCTGCAAGAGAGCGATGGCTTCCCCATGGGCAGCTGCATGGCTACTGGCTGCGCTCTCCCTCTTCCCTGGTCTGCTAACTCTTCTCCGGGGTTTCAACACCTGAACCCCAAAGGGCATTCATCAGAGCCTTTTCTAGAGTGGATGGGAGAGCGGCAGACGCGGAGGTGGAGCCTGGACAGCATCGAGATGATAGGGACAGGTGAGTTAGAGGAAAAACCACACATGCAGGTGAGAGTCCAGGGGTCATTTGGAGAGCACCTTTCTTCAGGTCAGCCCTGATGGCTGACCTCTGAGTCTGCTTTAGCCTGCATGGACTTTTCTCCAGCGTGCATGCTGCCTCCAGAATGTTCTTTACCCAGACACAAGGCATGAGGCTTCTCCCGTTAGAGGTGTTCCCCTTTGTGACCTTTGCACAGTGACCTGAATCCCGAGAGGCATTTGGAAAAGGGAATTTTCCAAAAATTCAGCTCAGATTTCCCACGAACCTCAGACATTTGCTTTTTTGATATTTAGACAACTTTGCCAAAACCCCAACATTTCAGTATTTTGGATTTTCTGTATAATATGAAAAATGTTAATAGTTATTAAAGACTTTTCCTTTCTTCTTTTCATTGTTGCTACCAGCTCACTTTTCACTAAGGATTATTACACCTATTTCCCAAGAGTCAGGAAAAAGATGAAAGCCATCTCAGTAACCTGATGTAGAAATCTAATATACTTTGATGTTTCCGTTTAGCTTTTCTCTAAAACCAGACTTATTTAGAGTTGCGATCTCAGTATTAGACATTGTACCCCGACACACACACTCAATACAACATCATAGGAACATGTGTCCATGTTGTTTCCATAGGTAAATGCTATTAGATGTGTAAATAGCCCCGTTAATGGCGAACAGCAATTCTTCCTATTCCAGTCAGGGGGCATTTAATGTCATCACACTGTGTTATCAGCCCGTTTGCTCATTCCTGGCCTTCGTTCTTGTATTGTGATGATTTTGCCACATGCATGTACTGAAATAAGGACACCATCCAATGCTCTACAATTCTCTGTCTGCTTTCAAACGTCCCTTCTTGGGGAGGTTGATTTGGGGACTCATGGCTGTCTGAGGGTGGGGCTCTTTGCCCTCTCCCAAGAAGTTCGTTGCTCCACCAAAGAGCTGGTTATTCTACAGGCAGGCGGAACAGGGATGGGCTCCTCAGCTGCCTCTCCCTAGGACTGATTGGGCTCATCTTGTGACATTTTCACCAGCCTTCTAACCAATCAGAGCAGTAATGAAAATCACCGCCCAAAATGAAGTCACAGTGTTCTCAGGACAGTGTTTCTTGGGTGTACTGTTACTGGCTTCCAGTTTCTGATCTGAGGTAGTCTACCTTATGGAGATCAGCCAAATAATAAGATCTTCTAAGAGTTATAGTCACTTTGTAAGATCTAAAAATCTTCTTAATTTTTTATTAAAATCTCTGCACGTATGTATACACGTTCATGTGAGCACCTGTGCATATGGAGACCACAGGTTGATGTCAGATGTCTTCCGTGATTACCTTATACATCGAGGCAGGATCTCTCAGAGATCGCCAACTCAGGATCTCTGTCTCGCTAGTTTGCTCTAGGAATTCCACTGTCTCCCAAGTTGAAGCCAACCACACCCCCACCCAGAAATTTTGTGGGGGTTGGGACCTGAACTCTGGTCTTCACACTTGCACATCGAAGTAGTTTACCCAGTAAGTCATTTCCTCAGCCCCAGCGATGAGTGTAGATTTTCTTCCTGGCCAAGTCTTTTCTGAGATCCTTTACTTATTAGCTTTCTGACCAGGCTGTTCTTCCCACTTTTTACTGTTTTGTATTTTTGTTCCGGTGGTTTTGTTGAAGTTGGTTCCTAGGAAGCAAGGCTAGTCTTTTTTTCTTCTTCTTCTTTGAGTTACACATTTTTGGACCTCAGTGCCGGTGCCCCAGAGAAGCATTTGGCACTGTGTTTTGAGCTGGCAGGAGTCAAGTCCCTTTGGGTAATGTGCGAGTCACAGGGGTGACACAAAAGGTCCTGGGTGAACCCCCCACCCCCACACACACCCTGCTTTCATCTGCGCTGGAGCCTAACCCAGTTCCCACGGGACAGTGGATTGGTCTGGAGTCTAAGATTCCAGGGAACGCTTTGAGAATTTATCAGAAGGGTGGGGGTCTCTGCAGGATAACAGATACCTATTGATCCTCTGGACAGTTTTATTTGGATAAGTGGCAAAAGTAATGAGGGTTATGCCTTGGGTCAGGACATGACACCAGCCCCTGTTTGGAAAAGGACAGTATGAAAAGGGTCTACTGTTTCCTGAACCCTCGGGCTTTTTCAGTAACCGAGAGACACCTAGGAGAGTATATATATATATATACACACACACACACACAGGTGGAAGTTGTGCTGATGGCGCTCCAACCCTATTAACGACAGATCAACCGCTTCCTCCCTCCAGCCCATGTGGCATAGCCCACAGCGAGGTTTGGTGTTATTGAAAAGGACTTCACTCTTTTGCCAACTTTGAACAAGATTAAGTCCCCACTCCTGACTTCCATCACCTCTCCATTTTCCACGTGTCTTAAATTCTTTTCTCTTCATTTTTCCGAATAGCTTTAAATCACGCTCCCCTCTTGAAGGCCTAAGTGCTGCCACCCACAGATCACCAGTCTGAGTAAATCATAATATTCTTTGCCCTATTTTACTTTTTAAATGCAATCTATTATTTCTATTACAGTTTAACGCCCCCCCCCCCCGCAGCATGCAGTAATCCCTTAGCGGTTCTTACTTGTTCTGTTCCATCTAAGGCACACAAACTTTCAAGATTCAAACCTACAGGACTTGCCATTGCTTTCTCTGCTTGGTGGGGGAAGTTTCTGTGTGCACCCAGCAATTGACGATGCTCTGAACGGCCTCCCTGGGAGTTACAGGTTACAAGCTCTGGTTTCATTTCTTTGGTTAAACAGAGAATTCTCCTCCTCCCACCCCAGTAGAATATCATTTACCATTTTATTCTTTAAAGAATAACGCATTCTCCAAAACCCGGAGAAACCTAATTAAGGACGAATGCTGTATACCATCTTTCTCCCACAGAGTTCCAGGCTAATGTTTCCTCCCTATCGCCAATCCCACACTTTGTAGGAAAGTTTGAATTTACCTGACAGCGGTTTTTTACAAAGACAAACCTGTAACTCTGAGTTTTTATGTAAGAGAAGAATCATTTAGTTCTATTAAGCAAGCAAAACACTCACCTGTTTTAAGGGGAGCGTGGGATTTGAACGGCAGAGCTGCGAGTTTTCTGTTCTAAAGTGTGAATGCCACCAGTGTTCTTATCAATAAACACTGAGTGGAACGTGCATACCTTGTGTTGGTGTGTAGAAGATTGTACCCTAGCACAGAGAGGTTAATGGAGGAAGAAGCCCAAGCCCTGGGAAGAGAAGAATCTGATGGCATTATGTCCATGCACGAGAACACATACCATGGGTGGCAGCTGCATCAGAGAAGCTACAACGTGGAGCTTTGGTGCAGAACTGCAGAGGGTGAGTCTGTCATCTCCACGGAGAGAGCCAAGTGCCTTCTAGAGGAAGGAGGCCCATTCCTATCTGGGCAAAGGGCATCAAAGGCAACCTGAGATTGCCCTTCACTGGCATTTGCCAGAGTGGACTGGGGTATTCAAAAATGTGTTCCATGTTTGTGGAAGGGCCCTGGCTGTGTGGGCATTCTCATGATTCTGTGGGGACCCTGGGAACTCTATCTACATAAACCTTTTCAGTATTATTCAGCTATGGTGGGAAGCAGAGGACCAACGAACTTGCCCAGTGACACTCTGGAAGGAATTCTGTATTAGCAGCGGGCTGACATCAGTGACACTTGTGATGGCATTATTCACGTCGAACCCTCTCGACTTGAACATGTCAAGCCTTCGAATTGTTTCAGGTGCTTAGTTTTTACACAGACCTCATCCTGGCGTCCGGCCTAATTCCCTGCATTCCCTTTATTGCATCGCCACACTGGGCTGGTGCTTGGCTGTGATGCATCTCCTCGCCTTGCTGACAATGCCTGTGCCTAATTACTTAAGCACTTCCTGGTGAGTGTGATTGTATTTCTCTCCTTTCTCCCATTCCTTAATCAAAGCATCCTCTGCCTGCTGGGAAACAATGGGCAGACAGCCTGATTTGGCAGTTTTATAAGCCAACAGTACACGTGGTGGAGGCTTTCCTGTGTAGGGGCGTGGCCTTATAATGAATCCTTATTAAAAAATAACGGGAACGACAAATACCATGATGGAAATACTGGAATTTCTCCAGAAGGAAGCATGCTACATATAACCATGGTGGACATATAAAGGCCCTTCATGAATAGTGAGTTCTATAACCCAGTAAATTTTTCCCTTTACAGCCTCACTGGTAGTGCTTTGGTGTGTCAGATTCACCAACTACACAAGTATGCTAAAGATTAGATACCCCCCACCCCAATAACTGTGAACAACCATGTTGATTTCTTCCAAGGGATCTTACTGTTGGAAGGTAACAAGAAGAAACATATCAGCATGTACTATTAAATTTGACCTTTCTAAAACGCCAGAGAGAGAGAGAGAGAGAGAGAGAGAGAGAGAGAGAGAGAGAG